ATTTCCCCCACGGGTCAACATGCCATTAAATTCGCACAAATCTGAATGTACAAGATCAAGCAGATTTGTATTTCTTTCAACACTTTTGAAAGGTTTCTTAATCATTTTTGATTTAACACATAATTCACATTTATTGAAATCTTTGATATTACATGATATCAAGCCAAGTTTAATTAGTCTCTTCATTGAACTAATACCAATATGTGCTAATCTATTGTGCCATAAAGTAACTGAATCAAGCATGTAAGCAGAATTAGAAATTTCATTAATCATGTTATCAGTAATACATAGTTTGATCATTCCTTCAGCGGAATATCCTTTTCCAACAAACACACCATTACGGGTCAAGATAAGTTTGCCCGATTCATACACAGATTTAATACCCGGTTTTCCCAATAAATCCCCACTAACAAGATTCCTATTCATGTCTGGGACATGAAGCACATTAACAAGAGTAACTTTCTTTCCAGAAGTGAAGTTGAGTTCGACCGTTCCGGTTCCAACAACTTTGGATCGCACTTCATTTCCCATTTGTACTTCTTGTCCATCATTTGCCTCAGAATATGTTTTGAATGCAGCCCTGTCATATGAGACATGAACCGTGGCACATGTATCATACCACCAGCCTTGGACCTTGCCTTTGATTGCCATAATTTCGCTCACAGTAGCAATTATATCATCATTAGCATTCACTGCATTGATCTCCTTTTTTGATTTATTATGCCTGCAATCTCGAGCATAATGTCCAGGTTTTCCACATACAAAGCATCCATTTTTCGGACCCTTCGGACCACCGAAGTTCTTGAACTTGGTATGTTCCTTTTTTGGTGCGATGTGACTTTTCTTGACATCATGTTTTTTCTTTTCCTTTCTGGTCACAGCATTGGCTTTGGAAAGACCCGCAGATTCTGATTTTTCCCTCTCCTTCGATTCCTCCTCGATTCGAAGATGCTTCTGGATTTTCTCCAAGGAAAAGTCATCAGAACTGTGCAACAGTTTCTTTTTATATCCTTTCCACGAACTTGGTAACTTCGCAATGATTGCACCAACTTGAAAGGTTTCAGGAATGTCTATTTTCACCGCTTTGATTTTGTTCACCAGGACTTGCAATTCATGCACTTGAGGAAGTATGGGCTTGGAATCTATAAATTTAAAATCAAAGTATTTAGAAATTAAGAACTTTTTCGTACCTTCTTCTTCGGCTTTGAATTTAAACTCCAGGGAATTCCATATGTCTCTAGCGGACGGATTGTCTGTGTATAAGTCGTATAGGCAGTCAGATAGCGTATTCAGAATATGCCCACGGCATAGTAATTCGTCCTCCCTTCGCAGCATGCGCTTCTTCTTGAGTTCGTCAGAATCATCTGCAGTTGGTTCTGGAATTGGTGTCAGATTGGGATCCAAGACGTAGTGAACCTTGAGTGCAGTAAGCAGGAACGTCATCTTGTCTTGCCATCTGGTAAAGTTGTTTCCATCGAAACGATCCAATTTGACAAGGTCCTGATTCATAACTTTGATACTTGAAACAGCAGCGTCGGAATCCATGATACAAATACTTTTAAGATTGTTAGATAATTCTTCTATGTCGAATGGATCCAGACTGAATCGTGTTCGGCCGGTCCGCCCGCCGGAGGCGGCCGGAGCGCCACCGGCGCCGCCTCATTAACGCCGCGAATAGCCCGATTGCTCCGATGCGTCGTGCCTAAGTGCTCAAGTGCCGTCTACAAGCCGCCACTAGCGCCTCTACGCCCACGCCCCCGGATCCGGTTCCGGAGCCGGAGCCGACACCGGCGAGGGGTGTTTTGTATGAGACAAGTGACATAAGTTTTGGCACCACCACATGTGACTATGTGGCACTTTATCCTTTTTGGCTCTTTTGGAAATTACATTGTTCCAAGTGCCTTATAAATGCTATTTAATTTCACTCCTCTTCCAATGTGGGACTAAGCATTTATTATAACACCCACTTTGTCATTTTGGAACAACTTTAATGGAAATAAATTATTATTTCCAACAATATTATCTTTCAATAAGAATTCATCAATTTGTCATGTCATATTAGTAATTTAAAATTTACAGTATATGTGACGGAATACATGATAGTGATTGATTGACAATGTAAAAAATCTTTACACTATCGGTGCGTGTGTGTGTGTATATATATATATATATATATTATATATATATATATATATATATATATATATATATATATATAGAGAGAGAGAGAGAGAGAGAGAGAGAGAGAGAGAGAGAGAGAGAGGAATCATCACCTGGACTTACCAAATCTAAGGTATATAATGACTAAATTTATGTTGTGAGAGGTTGATTATGCTTAGACAAAACTAAGTAGGTAACTTTTTCTCATAACATTTTATTAACAAGCAAACAACCTTTTCGAAGTGTTTTTAGAAAAACTAAAAAGTGTTTTTAGTGTTTTCTCTCACATTCATCTTTTTTTTCCAGGGAAGGGAGTTGTTGATGATTTCAAAAAAGAAATTTTTTACTAAAAACATTTCGACATCTTTGTTTGGGGAGAAATCCTTCTATCCCTTCGGATTGATAGTTAAACAATTTGTTGTTTGCTTAGATGACTTTTAATTGGTTGTTGTTTCAGTTAACATTATGTTATGAGTCCAAGTTATCTATTTAGATTTAACTTTGCGTATCAACCAATCACAACATTCTTACCCTACTGCTTTATGAATTCTGATGATGATAATCATCAAAATAATTTAATAAAAAATGAAGAATTAATTGAATATCCAAAAAATATGGATAAACTCAACAGATGGGTTATACCCTCAGTTCCTTCTAATCAAATCTATAGATTTGGTAAGATAGATGTTTTTGCTCGTTTTGCTGTTAAAACTTTAGAGCAAACGATTCAAATTTCTAAAGAAACTCTGACAATAAAACTGTTAACTAAAAAAGATTTGAAACCTTTTAAAAATTATTATTTTATCCATATTGGATTGGTTCAAGTTGCTTTAAAACCTTTAACATTATTAGGTTTAAATTCTATCATAATGTCTTATGTTAGAGATGGTAGATGTAAAGATTTCAAACAATCTTTAACTGCTATGGTTGAGACAAGTCTGTGTCATGGACCAGTTTACTTTAATGTCTCACCTAATTTAAATCTATCTTTATCTGATAAAAATTTATTAGATGCTATGCAATTAATCGTTCATACTAATGGTTACAATTTTAAACCTGGAAGTGAAATTATAGCAATATGCTATAGAATCTACTATACGGTTCTTTCTACACTTAATCCTAAAGCAAAGCATTTATCATTTCCTGGAACAACTACTTTGGTTCAAACAAATTTATTAACATCCAATGTTGCAACCAATAGGTTAATAAAGTGGGATGAAATAAACTTCCCAGAGACATGGTCTCTCCCCCAGGAAATAGATCTTGAACCTATCCTAAATAGAGATATAGACCAAATTATTCAGACTACTGAAGGAGATTTGGAAATAAACTTCACTTCAAAAAGAATAACTAGAATACTCAGGTCTCTATTTGCTAGGCACTTAATTAGTGAATTGTATACAGCTCCTAGTCAATTACCTAGACCTTCTACTTCTCAAATAAGAGAAGAAATAGAGGCCGTTGAGAATATAAGACTAAGCAAAAATAAAGTTCCCCATGGAATTTATCAAAAACCTCATACTCCAAGAGTAGAATAACCTACTCTGTCATATATGAATTTCCATTTATAATGATAGATTACTCCCTTGGTAAGAAGATGAGACAACTCATCAATGATGAGTTTCAACATGAGAGATATTCTAAATTTAGAAATTGGTTTTTTAAAAAAATTTCAAAACCTGAATTAGCCCAATTTAAGGATGAGTATTACACTCAAATGAACCTTGAGCAGGATTTCGTTCCTTTTGTTAAATGGTTTGTTACTCTTAAGGAATTAAATTCAGTCATCAGGTCTCAAAATTATACCAATGCTTACCTTGTTTGCTTAGGAGAACAATTTATCTCCATGGAAAAAGATCTCTTATCCATAAAAGATCTTTTAGAAAAACAAATAGAGCATCAAGATATCATTATTGACCATATAAATAAACCTAAAGACCAAATATCCACATCCACTATTTCGGATGTTCCTATAGTGCAACCTCCTGTTTCTATAGAAGGATTTAAAATGGAAACCAATGGAGAAGAATTTGTTCATATTTTAGAACAAAAATTAAAAGGACTTAATATCACTATCATGTCCCATGAAGATTATTCCGAGAATAATAATGATAACGATATTGACCAGCTTTCTGATATGTTTGCTAATTTAGACATTAGTAAACTTGAGATTAATAATACTAATAGTATTAATAATACTACTAGTATAAACCCTGTTTATTCCCCAAGACCTATAGAAAAGTATTATTACACGCGTCCCTCACTGCAAGATTTGCTTTTTGAGGAATCAGAATCTTTCCAGAATTCTTATTCAGGAAAAGCCATTTATGAATGGAATGTTGATGATCTTAATGACAAAAAAAATATAGATACAATCCATAGGATGATCATGTACTCTACTGTTTATAAGCAACGTGGAAATTCTGATAGTTCAATAACATCCTTTATAACAGCAGGATTTGTTGGCCAACTTAGAGCAACTTTAACGCAGGTTTGTTAAACCAAAATTCTTTATAGCTTACGTTAGTAATAAGGAATTTGCATTATAGTAGAGCTGACGTGGCATCCAAATGAACTAAAATTTAGTTCCCGTTATCTATATAGTTAACGTTAACTATTGATGTGAAACCTATTATAATATTATTTAATATTAATAAAATATTCCAAATATTCCAAATATTCCAACAGCATTAAAGTAACGGTATGATATTTGAAAATAGTAACGGTCATATTACCATTTTTTATCTTTTATAAATTCTATAGAAACTTTAATTTTTTTTACACACAGTTTTACTTCCAAATTTTTTTTCTTTCAATTTCCAATCTTATTTATTTATCAAATGGATCCCAACCAATCGAATCCTTATTATAATTATTTACAAACTCCCACCGGTGACAGTTCTCAAAATTTTCAACCTTTTATGTTTCAATCACCACCCTTCTCTACCAGCAACAATTCTCAATATACCCGACCATTTATGTTTCAACCACCACCAACCGAGTCTCCTAACATTGAATCAGAATCACCAATTAGGTACACTACAGATTCTCAAGTGCCAGGCAATTCCACTCAGGATGGTCTAGAAAATATTACTTTTACGGAAGAAGGAGAACGTTCAACCCAAAAAAAACAGCGTCTCAGGTTCATAGAAGAAGAAGATAAATTGCTTATTCAGACATGGCTTAACATTTCCAAAGATTCAATAGTCGGAGTTGACCAAAAAGCAGATAGTTTTTGGGGTAGAATCAAAGATGGCTATAACAACTATCGTGGATCACTTATAGCGAGAGAGTGGTCTACACTCAAATCTCGATGGCATCTATTGAATAAACATTGTCAATGGTTTTGCGGAAACTACAAACTAGCTGTTGCTAACAAGAAAAGTGGACAGTCTGAGACAGATGTCATGGAAGAGGCACGTAAATTTTTTTTCCAAGTGCATCATCAACGTTTCACAATAGAGCATGCGTGGAGGTTGTTGAAGGATGAACCTAAATGGAAGGGGCAAGAAATGGACAACTCTTCAAAGAGATCAAAGATATCCTCTACCGGGACATATTCATCGTCATCTTATCCAGAAAATCCCATAGATTGTTCAGAATACAACAATGCAACTCAGACCGACCGCCCAGCAGGACAAAAGGCGGCAAAAAGGAAGGGCAAGGGAAAAGCATCTCCATCTATAACACCCATAGTGGATTTGACTGACATAGAAAGGGCCTCAGAAAAGAAATTAGCTATCTATGGTAAAATAGCTGAAGCAAAGTTGGCAGAGAGCATACCCGTGTTGTATGAAATTCTCATGAAGGACAAATCAACAATGAATGATGAGCAACGCCGAGAGCATGAAGAAATTTGTCAAAGTATCAAGGAGAAGTACTTCAAGAGAAGCTAGGTGTATTATTATTATTATTATTATTATTATTATTATTATTATTATTATTATTATTGTTTAGGTTTGAATATGCATTTCATATTATTGTAATTTTGTTTTAAATGATTGTTATTTTAATTTTGTATCTATGTTTCAAATTAGCTATGCAAAACTAGCCGTTATAAAAAAATTAGCCGTTATTAAAAAATTAGCCGTTGTAAAACTAGTCGTTATAAAAAACTAGCCGTTGTAAACTAGCTGTTATAAAACTAGCCGCTGTAAACTAGCCGTTATAAAACTAGCCGTTGTAAACTAGCCGTTATAAAAAAACTAGCATATATATACCTCACATGTTTTCCCATTATATTAGTTTCATCATATCTTCCATGGATCCAAATGCTGAATGGGATAAAATCTGGAATGAAGTCGTAGATGATTGCCTTAACGACAACACTGAGGAAGATGTGATAAGGTTGGTACGAGAGGCGCAACAACAAGCCAACAATACAAGTAAGCATAGAAAAAGAAGAACGGTGATAGATCGAAGTCGTGAAGAAGGGCATCATCGATTGTTCAATGACTACTTCTCTGAAAATCCTGTATACACGGAGGCTCAATTCAGACGAAGGTTCCGTATGCGAAGACATGTGTTCCTTCGCATTGTTGAAGCTCTTGGAAATCATGATGAGTACTTTCAAAGAAGGATTGATGCAGTGGGTAGAATGGGTCTTTCACCATTGCAGAAGTGCACAACTGCTCTTCGTATTCTAGCATATGGATCACCAGCTGACAGTGTGGATGACTATGTTCGAATTGGAGAAAGCACGGCATTGGAGTGCTTAGACAGGTTTGTAATAGGTGTGTGCACAATATTTGGTGCTCAATACATGAGAAGGCCAAACAATGAAGACATTGCACGCCTACTACAAATTAACACGGCACGCGGCTTTCCAGGTATGTTGGGTTCAATTGATTGTATGCATTGGGAATGGAAAAATTGTCCTGTCGCATGGAAAGGTCAATTTTCTAGAGGTGATCATGGTAAACCCACAATCATGCTTGAAGCCGTGGCATCTCAAGACTTGTGGATTTGGCATGCATATTTTGGAACTGCGGGTTCTAACAACGACATTAATGTGTTAAACACGTCTGATGTGTTTAATGATGTTTTGAATGGAAAAGCTCCTGCATTACAATACTCGGTGAATCGAACAACATATCATATGGGGTACTACCTAGCGGATGGCATTTATCCTGAGGGGGCAACATTTGTCAAGACCATCCCTATGCCGCAAGGAGAAAAGAGAAAGTTATTTGCCCAACGACAAGAATCAGCACGAAAGGATGTTGAACGGGCATTTGGAGTGCTCCAAGCCCGATTCGCTATTGTACGTGGTCCAACGCGTGCTTGGCATGTGAATACAATGAAACACATAATGTTAGCATGTATCATATTGCATAACATGATTGTCGAAGATGAGCGAGACACATATGCTGGTAATTTTGATTACGATCATGTTGATAATAATTTCTCCACAACTGAAGTATCTACTGGTCCAATTCCCAACTTGACAACAATGTTTGAAAGGATAGCGCATGTTCATCAAAGGCAAAATCATCGCCAACTTCAAGCAGACTTGGTGGAACATATTTGGGAGAGATTTGGTCATGAGAACAACGAAAGTTAGTTTGTCTTATTTTATATTTCTGTTAAAATATAATTTGTTGCTTATTGTCATGTATTATTTTATATTCCTATGAAAATGTAATTTTTTTATATATTATTGTTGTGAATTTTGTATCATTTTTAATTTTATAATAAAATATATTTAATATTATTTTTAAGTTTTTAATATTATTTTAGGTAAATTTTATTTAAAAAATTATATGCATTTTAATTAAAATAATTAAATTAATAGTAACTTAAATAAAAAATATAAAATGTGGGGTCAAGTTTTAGTTCCTTATAGACAACCACCATTAAAGTAAAAACTACTCAAATCAACTATAAAATTTTCAAATCCTACAAATCACTTTGGACCCACAAAAAGTATCTTAGTTTACCCATTTAGTTTACTCCCACTAAAGATGCTCTTAGAGACTGGTGGGATCATTATCTCACTGAATCTTAAAAATTAGATATTCTTAATCACAAAAAAAATGTTAAGAGAGAACCAAGAACTAGTACGAGCACTATTGTGGCTACGACCACCACAGGAGAAGAAGATGCAGTGTATACACTGTGTCTTTCCATCTTACAACATTTTGTAGGAACCAATGTCCGCATTGGAGAAAAAATCCAGACACTTCTCCAAAACCTTAGGTGTCCTTCTCTTACCCACTTTAGATGGTATAAGGATACTTTTCTTTCAAGAGTTTATCAATTAAACAATCTCAATTCTTTGCACTGGAAAGCAAAATTTATTGATGGATTACCCCATTTCTTTTCTAAAAAGGTTAGACAATCTTTAAGGCAAAAAAATGATGGAATAAATATAAATTATTCTGACCTTACTTATGGTCAAATAATTAGTACTTGTGTTAATGAAGGATTAACTTTATTTAATGACATAAAGCTTAGAAATTAACTTAAAAAGCAAAAGCTTTCTGAGAAACACCAACTTGGTAAATTTTGTGAACAATTTGCTTTTGATCTTGGAAAATCTCCAGATAATAAAAAGAAAAAAGGAAAAAAATTTCGCAATAAACCTTATAGGGATAAGCCAAAAAATTATTATAAGAATAAGAAAAAGGATCACTACAATAAGGGTAGACCTAAAGAAAAATCTTTTGACCCTAAAGGTAAAAGAAAAGCCAGAAGGCTTGACATAACATGTCATAAATGTGGCAAACCTGGCCATTATGTCAACCAATGTTGGACTAAAAAAGCTCTTAATGTGATAGAAGATGAACAATTACATTCTCAATTAGAGAAAGTTCTACTTCTCAATTCTGATTTTGAAAATTATTCTTCAGAAGAAGATATTAATATGATCTATGAACTCTCTACTGATTCCTCTTCTGAACATTTTGACAATAATGATTGTCAATTAAATTATTGGAAATCAATTGTTGAGATGAATGGGTTAAATGTTTTGACCTCAGAACAGGACGAAGCCATAAAAGCTATAGAATCCATTTCTGATAAAAAACTAAAAAGAAAAATGCTTGAAGTCTTAATATGAGAAAACTCTAAAAAAGAGTTTCCCATTATTACAGAAGTATCTTACCAATTAAGTGAGGTTTTGTCTAGGTTTAGACAGTCTAACATCCGTGAAACTCCCGTTTCTATTATGGATTTAATTAGAGAAATAAACCTCTTAAAAAATGAGATATCTCAGATTAAAAAAGAAAACTATGGTTTATCTCAAAGAGTCACTTTTTTAGAATCCAATAATTCAAAGGTTGAAGAAATAACTTCAACTAGTAATCCTTCATCTAGTGATGATTTCCTTTCTCTCATTGATAGAGTGACCTCTCAAAAATGATTTGTTAGAATAACTTTAGTTATTAATAGAAATTTCATATTAGAAAATGAAGTTGCCCTTATTGATAGTGGCGTTGATTTAAACTGCCTTCAAGAAGGAATTATTCCTACTAAATATTTTGATAAAACTACCCAATCTCTTACCCAAGCTGGAGGAGATAAACTCACGGTTAACTATAAACTGTCTAATGCTTATGTTTGTAACAAAGATATTTGTTTACCTACTCATTTCATTCTTGTAAAACATTTAACTCATAGAATTATATTAGGAACTCCCTTTCTGCATAAAATAATGCCTTTGATTAATGTTGATCAAAAGGAAATTACTTCCATCATCAATAATAAAAGAATTACCTTTGAATTTATTATTGATCCTCATACTAAGATGATTAATGAAGTTAAAGATATTCTTCTTAAAGAAGAAGTGGGTTTATTAAACATCACTTCTCAACTTAAAAAACCTGAAATTCAAAATCAAATTAAATTAATTGATCAATAGTTTAGAGATGAAATATGCAATGATTTACCTAATGCCTTTTGGGATAGAAAGAAACATGTTATTTCCTTACCTTATCTTGATGACTTTAATGAAAGTCAGATTCCCACTAAAGCTAGGTCTGCTTAAATAAACCACGAGTATTTGGATTTATGCAAAATTTAGAGAAAAAAATTAATAAGAAAGTCCAAATCTCCTTGGAGCTGCACAACTTTTTTTGTTAATAATGCCGTCGAAAGGGAACGTGGAGTGCCTAGACTTGTTATAAATTACAAACTACTTAATAAAGTGTTAAAATGGATTAGATATCCTATTCCTAATTAAAAAAAAATCTTTTAGATAGATTAAACAATGCTTTAATCTTCTCTAAATTTGATATGAAATCTGGTTATTGGCAAATTCAGATTAATGAATCTGATAAGTATAAAACAACCTTTACCATATCTTTTGGATATTATGAATGAAATGTCCTTCCTTTTGGTCTTAAAAATGCCCCCTCCGAATTTCAAAATATTATAAATGATATTTTTAATCCCTATACAGAATTTATAATTGTTTATATTTATGATGTTTTAGTTTTTTCAAAAACTATAAATTAACATATGAAAATATTCAAAGATTAATTAAGCATAATGGATTAGTAATATCTAGTCCTAAGATGAAACATTTTCAAACAAGGGTTAGATTTTTAGGTCATGAAATTGACCAAGGAACTATAATTCATATACAAAGAAGTATTGAATTTGCTTCTAAATTCCCTGATATTATTATAGATAAGAAACAATTACAAAGGTTTCTTGGTAGTCTCAATTACATAGCAGATTATTATGAAAATCTTGCTAAAGATATGACAATATTACATGCTAAGCTTAAAAAGGATCCTGGCCCTTGGACTGAAAAACATTCTCAGGCAGTCCAAAGAATTAAAAATAAGGTGAAATGTTTGCCTTGTTTATCTATTGTTAATCCTAAGTATTTCAAAATTGTTGAAACTGATGCTTCAGACTTAGGCTATAGAGGAATCCTTAAACAAATAAT